CAATGATCTACTATCACTGACCATGATTGGGTGGTGGTCTCGCACACCTCACTGTGATTGGGCAATGATCTCCTATCACTAACCATGATTGGGTGGCATTCTTACACACCTTACTGTGATTGGTCAGTAGTCTCTGTGTGAATTCTTGACAGTAGGGGGAGACAGTGTCATAGCAACAGTGTCACTGGGCTTATAATGCCGAATCCCTGGGCTGACGCTGGGCAGGCAGTGGTTCAAATCCTGAGTGCGCAATTTAAGTTTAATTAATAATATCTGGAATATAAAGTGACCTTGCACAATGGTGACCATTAAACTATCATCAACTATTGTAAAAACCCCATCTGGTTTACAAATGTTCTTTAGGGAAGGAAATCTGCCGGCTTTACCCAGGCTGGCCTACCTGTGACTTCAGACTCATAGCAATCTGGTTGACTGCCCTCTGTAATGGTCCAGCAAGCCACTCAGTTCAAGGGCAATCAGAGATGGACAATAAATGTGGGCTTCAGTGAGTCCAGATCAAAGAATGAAAGAAAATGACCACACGGTCATACAAGGAGCCTGTGTTGTTCGTTACCCTTTATTGGGGCACAATTTATGTTACTTGTTCAGCTGTGTCATACTTAAATCATTATTTTGGTGTGTTGCCAACAATTCATGTATTAATTCTTACGGGGAAGTAAATCTCTGTTTTTCATTCTTCTGCTATTCATGATTTCTTCATTGAAGCATGTATCCCACACATAGTCAGCACCCCCTGTATTTGTGCAGCAGTTTTAACCCCGCCCCGACACCAACGATTTCCCATTCCAGGTGGGCTATAATTGCTGATTCACTTCACACAAGTTGTCGCATGGGTTCTAATTGAAATAACTGCTGTAGAGAACAGGAACTCTTGTCAAAAATTCTACTGCTACCCCCCCTGCCAACAAACAAACCTCCAGTCCTCTTTAACATCTGGACCGTGTCAGTTTTTATATTGCCTGAAAGGTGGGGGGTCTGCAAAATTACGGTTGTCCTTCAATGCCTGAGCTTTGACATTGTCTCAGTGTCAGCATGAGTGCTTACAGAACAGTGATGCTTTGTCACCAGAACTGAATCATTTCAAAGCAGTCTGTGTTCCACTCCCCCTCCTTCCAGTGGATGCAGGTGGCAGTGTGCAAACTTTTGTCGACTTTTCAAATAAAGAGAGTCTTTCTCTTGATTCAGGTGGGACATGGATGTTTTCTCACTTATTTTCCTCTCTTGTTTTTCTCATTCATTTTGTTCTCCCACTTTCCTGATTTTTAAGTTGAAATGTGAATGGGTTAAATGATCAGGTTCCTGACCCAGTACAGTCTGACTGTCAGCTCCATTCCAGTTGGGTCAATGCAGTGAGCTGGGGTGTTTCTGTTTGGAGCATGTAGCGTACTGGCCCTTGGGTTTGATTCTCTGAGTTAGCTGATGGTGGTACCTTAATAGAATCAAAGCCCTTAGCCCTACACAGTCATCCTTTTCAGATAACAGTTTAATTCCCTTTAGAATGCCTCATTTGAAAGTATCTCCACCACACCCTCAGGCAGCACGTTCTAGATCCTAACCACTCTTCATGTGTAAAACTTTCTCCTCATGTCACTAATGCTGCTTTTGCCAATTACCTTAAATCCATTGTTATAATGTCACCTCATTATAATAGCGGGCAACTCAGATCATGGAATGAAACCCAGTGTGACAAATTATATGTTTAAGTTTTTGCAGTCATTCACTGAATATAGAATCCCTACAATGTGGAAGCAGGTCATTCTGCCCATCGAATCCGCACCGACTCTCCGAAAAGCATCTCATCCAGACCCAACCCTGTACCTTATCCCTGTAACCCTGCATTTCCCATGGCTAATCCATCCAGCCTGCACTATGGAATCCCTAGACACTATGGAAAATTTAGCATTGCCATGCATTAACCTGCATATCTTTGGACTTTGGGAGGAAAACCAGACATGGGGCGGATGTGCAAACTCCACACAGTCGCCTCAGGTTGGAATCAAACCCGGGTCCTTTGAACAGTGAGACAGCAGTGCTAACTACTGAGCCACTGTGCTGCCCTTCGCCCTATATTCACATGAGACTGTCCATATTCTTTAACAAAAGATCACAGGTTAATTACACAAATGAAAACTGAAAATAGTATGTATAAAAATCAGTTTAGAAATACCTCAACGTAAATACAAAAAAAAAGCTTCAATTTGTTTCCCAGCAACATCCTTTAGATACTCAACCCAAGTAAAGTGTCCCTCCAAGCTTAACTCTTCAATTTATTGCTTAATTGATTCTTTCAGGCTCTAATGACCTGGATTCCTTTTTATCTCTAATAGCCGAGGAACATCTTTCTCGTTCTGATGGCCTAAGCTAGTATCTGGGCCCAGCCTGTTTTCTCTGTGTGTTATAAACACTTAACTTTGTAAACACTTCACCAATTAATTGCATTGACATCCTGCTAAGCATTTGACTTAAATCACCTACCTTCTTGGGAAGCATGTATTCAGTTCACTGTTCCAAAACGACTTGCTGACCTTTTTTTTAAAAGAAATTGCCTTCACAGAACTGAAATCACATGTCTTTTACTTCTACTTTAAAATGTAAATTCCCAATTGATAATATATTGTACACCTTTATTACATTGCACCTTCATGTTCTCAATCCTTCGACCAGTGGGAACAGTTTCTCCCTCAGCACAGTAGGTGGCACTCTTACCTCAAAGTCAGAGGGTCTCCCACTGATCACAAAATCCAGCCTGACACTGTGTGCAAGGTTGACATTAAGATGTACGTGTCATCTTCTGTCACAGGTATACATGAAAGATTTGATTATTTCGAAGAAGATGCTGTGGTGTTCCATCTAAACTCCTGTCCAACATTGAAACTTCAACCTTGCTCAGCAGTCCCCCAGAGTGAGGAGGGTACCTACCATAGAGTTGTAGAGGAATGAGAGGGAAAGAGGAAGTGAGAGAAAAAGAAAGGGGCAGAGGAAGAGAACACAAGAAAGGAGAAGAGAAGAGCGAGAAAAAAGGGGAAGAGAGAATGAGGAAGGAGAAGAGGAAGAGACACAGAGGCTTTGAAAGATGTGGGTGAAGTCAGTGAAGGGAAACAGAGGTGGGGCAAAGGGAAAGTAAATGGCTCAGGGAAAAACAGCATTAAAACCCAATCCACATTGATGATCAGTGAGAGGCCTGCAGCACAGAAAAAAGGCCCTTTGGCCCATTGAATCTGCGCCAGTCAAAAACAAACCACCTGACTATTGGAATCCCATTTTCCAGCATTTGGCCCATAGCCTTGTTTGCCTTGGCATCACAAGCATACATCTAATTACTTGTCAAGTGTTATGAGAGTTTCTGCCTTGTATGCTTTGGCATACATTACTCTCTGTTCTTAGCTATTGAGGTCAAAGCTGGTATTCCTCAAATAAGCTCTCAGAGTGTCTTTGAAAAGTTTCCACCAGTTGCCCTGTGACCTTTGATACTCTAGAGTAAAGAGTGAGTTTTGGAGGGCAAGTGTTTGGAATTCTGATACAGGAACCTGTCCAGTGCGGGTAGCTGAGTGAGAATGGTCACCTCAATACTCAGGGAACCTGCTTCCTACAGTAACCTGGTGTTAATGCAGCAGTCTGTCCAACTGAAGCATAAGACATCAGCCATCAGCACTAAAACACATGAACTGGGCATATAACATTGCTGTTTGAGGGAACTTGTTGCAATGTGAGCTGTTGTGTTTGGTGATTGTTGATTGAGGAATGAATATTAACTGGGACATCAGGAAGCAATTCCCTGTCCTCTTCTAACAAGTAACTTTCACTGGAAGAGGAGATAGTATTTGGTTGCAGAATTAAGTGTCCTGAGGCTGCCAACATTCAGATCTGCAGGATCCCAGGACTCTCCAGCACATTCCTGATCTCTTACAAAATCCCAGCGAGATTCTCTCTGCTGGAGGGCAGCTGCTGGAGAGAGAGTTTGGAGAAGCCAAAGAGCAAATTTGTTTTGATTATACTTGGAGCAGCAGCAATAAATTTTGTTTACAATATGTAATTAATGTGTCGTGTGACACAGTTTATATTTCCATTGCGCAGAAGGCACGTATTTGTAAGTCTCCCCAACTTGTTTGCTCTGTGCAGTCTAAACACAGCCTGGTAAATCGCAATAACGATGCAACTAATAAGACAGTGGCCTGAAAAGAATGCGAGGCTGGAGGAAATTGGTGAGTCTCAATTCTGGGACAAATTACAGGCAGAAAGCTGAAGCAATAAAGCAGGCACATGCTTTTAATATTCCCATATAATGCTGTAAAGGGGTAAGTGGAGGCAGGAGAGTGTGAGAGCAGTTACAATGTTGGCATTTTGAGTGGATCTTGTGTTAACTGTGATTCAAGCAGGAGGCTGGGATAACTGCATTAAACAGCCCCTTGTGCCGCTATTGAGTTCTAACATGGATCTTGAAATGTGCTTCCATCTCGTGTGTATTTGACTTATTACTATTTAAGAGGTTTGCCTGTGGCACTGGGGAATAAGGCCTTTTTTCAGTGCAGCAGACCTCTCACTGACCACTGACTGATCATCAAAGGTAACGTGCATTTCTGTAGTGCCACTCATAACTTTAAAGGAAGTCCCTAACCGCTTCTCAGCATCATTACCTACTGTCTGCAGTGAATCCACTGCAAAACAGTGCAGAAATCTGAAATAAAAATGGGAAGTCCCAGAAATGGGGTGACCAAGATAGCAGACGATGACCTCTCAAAGTGCACTTTCAGTTACAGGAAATTTGGCAACCTGCTTATGCACAGCAAGATCCTGCAGACAACAGGTAGCAGTCTGTAGTTAAATCTGTTTTAGTGATGTTGGTTGATTGTTACATATTGGCCAGGCGACTGGGGGGATCATCTGCGTTTTCAGAATAATGCAGTGAAATCTTTTGCATTCGCCTTGTGCAGGTGTCAGTTTAATGTCTCAAAGTCAAAATTGGCACTGCTGACAGCATTCTCTCACTTCTGCACTAGGAATTTCAGCCATCCTCATTGTGTCACCTTCTGAGCTATGGCCAGCTCCTGTAAAGTTAAAAGTTGGACCACATATTGCTACAGGATACCCAATCTCTGAAATGTCCTTAAATGCCACAACCCTCTGATATATCTGTACTACTACTCTCATTTTGGTCTTTTGCACGTCCCCGATTTTAACCACTCCACCATTGGCAAATCATGCCTTGAGCTGCCAGGGTTCAAAGCTTAAAGGAGACCACCATCATCCCAGTGCCAAAGACAGTTTGTGCAGCATGCCTCAGTGACCACTGCTTGTTGGCTCTGATCCCCCATAATTATGAAGTGCTTCGAGAGCTTAGTCATGGCTCACTTTAATTCCAGCCTACCCACTTGCCTTGATCCTTTGCAGTTTACCTACTGGCTCAACAGGTCCATGGCAGATGCCATCTCACTGGCCATACACTCATCCCTGGAACATCTGGATAACAGGGATACCTACTTATCGACTACAGCTCTGCCTTCAACACCATAAATCCAAACAAATTAACCTCTAAACTCTGAGACCTAGGTCTCAACTCCCCACTCTGTAACTGGATCCTCGACTTCCTGACCCATAGACTGCAATCAGTAAGAATAGATGACAACACTGCCTCAAACATAATCTTCAACACTGGTGCCCTGCAAGCCCCCTACTATAATCCTTATACGCTCATGACTGTGTGGCCAAATTCCACCCGAAATCTGTTTACAAGTTTTCTGGTGACCCCACCGTTGTAGGTCGGATTTCAAACAATGACGAGACAGAGTGCAGGAAACAGATTGAGTGCTTACGGCATGGTATAAACACAACAATCTGTCCACCAACATCAACAAGAGAAAGGAACTGGTCATTGTCTTCAGGAAGCAGAGGCATGCCCCATCTGCATCAATGGTGCTGAGGTGGAAGTGGTCGAGAGCGTCAGGTTTCTAGGAGTGATGATCACCAACAATCTGTCCTGTTGACACGATGGTGAAGAAGGCACAACAACGTCTCTACTTTCTCAGGAGGCTAAAGAAATTTGGCATTTCCATAGGACTCTTACCAATTTTTAAAGATGCACCTTGGAAGGATCCTATCACTGCTCTTCCCAAGACATCAAGAAACGACAAAGAGTTGTGAACACAGCCCAGTCCATCACACAAACCGGCCTTCCATCCACTGACTCCATCTATACTTCCCAATGCCTTGGGAAAGCACCCAACATAATCAAAGAACTTTCCCACCCCGGTCATGCTCTCTTCCATCGGACAGAAGATATAGAGGTTCAAATACACATCCGAACAGATTCAATAACAGCTTCTTCCCTGCTGTTATCAGACTTTTGAACAGACTTCTCAAATGTTAATGTTGATCTCTCTCTCTCTGTCTCTCTGTCTGTGCACCTTCTCTGCAGCTATAACACTGTATTCTGCACTCTTGTTCTGCTACCCTGATGCACTTTGCATTGTATGATCTGCTGTAGTGCACGTAAAACAACGCTTTTCACTATATCTCGGTACATGTGACAACACTCAGACTCATTCCTTCTGTAAGAAATCCTTTCTCCTCCTTCAAGGCATTCCTAACACCAGATCCTTTGGCCAGTTTTTTTGATCAGCTGTCTGAATGTCTCTTACTATAAGATAAAGCTCAATAAAGACTCCTCTGAAGTGACTTGGGATAGATTTATCACTATGAGAGTGCAGTTTGTAATTGGGGAAAGTTCCTCCCTATTTACAAATTCTAATAACCGCTGCAATTCTCGAGAAGGAAATTTAAGGGTGTAAGCACACTTGTCCAAATTTTAATTGTATTCTTAATTTGTGTTACAGGTTGTTCACTCCAGTGATCATGTACGTCAGTTTCACTTTGATGCTAACACCTGGCTGCTGTCTTCCCTGGGCTAACTCCTGGACGTAACTTTGAGGGTATTGAATCACAATCTCTTGACTGAAGCAATGATAGTACTACAAATCGTATTGGTACAAGAGTCTTTCTGCTTGCACTTTAAAACAAAATCGCAGAACTTGAATATTGCTGAAAAGAGAGACATGTTGTCGAAGCCTTTCACCTTGTACTCATCAGGACAAGAACAAGAATGCCAAATTCCAAACAATCAAGTTTATTTTACAGGAGAAAAGGATGCTCATTGGTTGACAACTCTAGTTGAGGTGTTGCTCTTGAGGTAGCACAAAGAACTAAATGCTTCCCTAAGATCCAGGGTAGTTCAGAAAGATGCGAGGCTTGAACATATTCCTTTTGTTTGCAGAGAACAGGTTCATGCGAATGAATATATGTTCCTGTTAGCAAGTGTAAATGAGCCATATTATGAGCCCAGCTGTTTTAATTTGATTGCCTTAAGTTGGCTGTCAGAGTAGCTATTAGTGAACTCTGGATTGCTCAGCAGTTGCCCCTCCATGGAATTACATCTAACAGAGATTCTGCATTGTGTTTTGGAGGTGGGGGCTGGATGAGTTTGGTCTGTATCTGTCTATTAAAAACTAAAAAACACAGCTTGCTATTTGATTCGATCAGCTAAACTGCTGGGACAAACAGCCCATGGACCTGGCATTGGAATGGTCACTTTGTCTCCTGTAGTATAATTTAATGTGATGGTTAGAACTTTGGCATTCTTGCATTTGTCCTGATGGATGCAAGAGGAAAACTTTTGGCAACAAGTTGTTCTTTACACAATCACAAACCAGGATCTTTAACCTTTCATGGTACGACATAATATTTTTGCCACTTGAGCAGTCCTGTTTAATTTTGGCCACGGTTAGACTTTTGAATTTGGAAATGACTCCATGCTGCTCTCTAGTCATGGGTGCTGTTAATCATTCTGTTTCGCCTTACATATATGTGACACTTGTATCCACTGATTGGATGCAGAAATGCAGATATCAACTAACCATCCAGACAATGAGCCAAATAAGTTTAGAAAAAGGAAGAACTTGCAATTAGATGGTACTGTACTGTGGACAGCCCAAACCGTTTAGCGACTCAGTAACTTTTTGAAGAGTAATCGAAATGGATCCAACTGACGTTTCCGACTAAATTCTTTCTGCCACGCTAGAGAATTCGCCAAACTTCAAGAAGGAATTCCAAAAAGTCCTTTCAGATTTGTCCGGTTCCAGCATTAGTTTTCAAACTGTTTCTTGATATTATGCCTACTGTATTGCTATATTTTGATCTTAATTTTGATAACTGATTTCAGTCTTGTATGTTTTTATCTGAGTACCAGGGTTCCCCGATGGTGAGGGGTGGTGGTTTTGTCCAGTAGCATCTATCCAATTCCAAATGCCGTCATCCACCCCTGCCTGCATTATTGATTCAAATTGCTTCTGTGTCCAGCCAGCCCCTCTTTGGGAGAGAGGGGTTTGGTTTTGCCCTCGTTGCTGTAATCCTGTGCAGACTGGAGCCTGGAGGAAAGCTCACTTGATGGGAATTCTGCTCTGAGGGTTCACGTGCTTCTGGAAATGAACAGAAAGTCTGAAGTTCACCCAGTGACAGCCAGAAGCTAAAATAACCTGCTAGCCCTTCCACCCTGTCCCTCAGAGTTAGGGTATCTCTTGCTGAACTCACTCCACATGCCTCCTGTATCCATATGATCTCCCAGGAAAGGTGAGGAAAATAGACAAATATATAAGAAAGAAGAGATAGACTCTCCTGCAACATCCAGTCCTTTTTGAAGTGATCAGGATGAGTGCAGGAGACGCTGATCATCATTACCAGGTACCCACCTCCTGTGAATATACAGCTGTGTGTTGAAGAGGAGGCCATTCAGCCCCACAGGCCTGTGCCACCATTCAATTAGATCACAGCTGCGCTGGGAGCTTTTTATTTTGAAATGAAATCTGGTAACCTTTGTCAACATAATTTCCACCATCCTGCCCACCACCTCAGTCACCTAGAATGTACTTGTTCAGGGTGGAGGTGGACGTACAGGAGCAGAGGGTGAACCTTTATCATTCACTGCTGATTTATCTATTAACCTGGCCATTTCTCTCCCATTCTCCATGCGACCCAAGAAGCAATAATGGCATCTTTGCTTTACGAAGGTGGTGGGTGAATTCTTAGCACAGTTTATTTGGTTCTATTTCTCAATCAGAGCCACAGCTTTCACAGAGAGAATGACAAAACCCCACCCCAATTAAATGCCCTGGGAAACAGAACCGAGTTCAACATCGCTGATCATTATGGTTAGATATTTCAAACTTACAAATAAGTTAACATGACCTCTTGTAAGCAGAATGTTGTTTAGCCTGTGAAGCAGTTTGTACATGTTATGTAGCAAATCATTTCTATGGCAGCTTATGTCATTTGTAAGTTTGTTTTTGTTACTGACTCCAGTCACGTTAATGCCTGAATAGTTTTACTTGACTTTCTAGAAATAATTTAAGGGCTGACTCAACCGTTTTCTCTTGCACTGAATTTTAAAAATTTGAATTTGAAGTGAGTATGAGTAATGACCTGATTGAAGTCTTTGAGGCTGTGAAAGGGTTTGATAAGATATGTGTTTATCTACTTTTCCCTGAAATGTATCAGAGCTTCTCACCCCTCCTATTCTGTGTGTTCCATACTGGGAAGAAGTGTCTCTTGAATTCCTTATAGGATTTATTGCTGACTGTCTTATGTTGATGGCTCCTAGTTTTCAATGTTTCCACAAAAAGAAAGGATCCTATCTACTTCTGACCCTATCAAACCCCTAAAAAGATTTACATTTCAGAATCCTCCGAATACTTCAGGAGGCTGTCCCAAGTTAAAACCTGATTCAATTCAGAACGTACCTCAAGATAGAAGAAAGATCAATGAAATGGTCTCATTATGCACGTTGCCTTTATGAAACTAAACTGTTAGAAATAATAATGTCTGTGTTTTTCTTACCTGCTGCTGTTATTGGTCTCTGGGTTTCTTTCAAGCATGGGAATTATTTTGAGCATTCTTTTTAAATTTGCTTATGAGATAATTGGAGGGAACTGTTTAGGAGAAGTGACAGCTGAATGATGTGCAGGATTTGGGAACTGAATGGACATCAGTAAAGACCTGGTCATTAATTCTGAACAATTCAGTAAACTTGTCATACGAGTTTGTGTATGTGTGTATGTATCTGTGTATGAATATACACGTGTGTGTGTGTGTGTGTGCGCGCACGCGTGTGCATGTGCATTTTCCTTCAGCTCCATGCACAGCTGCTTCAGGAGCTAAGCTCTTTCCAGTTCTCCAGTCATCTCCTTCTCTCTTTGTCTCCTCCCCCACCCCTCCAATTTTGTAGAAGAGTCCGCACCTTCCACTACCCAGCTCCACTTTCCAAAGTGCAGTTTAGTTTGAAAAGCTGACAAGTCAGCTTAAATTGCACATCCTAACATTTTGAGCACATCGGGGCATCTTTTGATTTATTTCTACTGTCTGAGGAACAGGCAACAATTTTAATGGTACCTCTAGCTGCTCTGGAATTTCCACTGTAAACCTCTCCATCCCTCTCTGTTTCTTTCACAGTACTTCTTAAAATCTGCTTCTTTGTCCAAGCATTTAAACACCTGTCTAAATATCACCTGAAGGGGCTCAGCGTTAAATTTATACTTCACCTCACTGTGATTTACAATGTTACAAGATTTATATAGGCATAATAAAAACCAAAAGAACTATGGATGCTGTAATCAGAAACAAAAACAGAAATTGCTGATAAAGCTCTGCAAGTCTGGCAGCATCTGTAGACAGAAAACAGAGATGGTTTGAGGAAGGGTCACTTGACCCAAAACATTAACTCTGATTTCCCTCCACAGATGCTGCCAGACCTGCTGAACTTTTCCAGCAATTTCTCTTTTTGTTACATAGGCATACGTTGTTTTATAAACTGGGATGAATTGAGGTGACAGCTACAAAGAAGAGGAGTCAGTGATTTACTCCTGCAATTATTAAGTATTTAAAAATCTGATTTTTTTTTAAAAAAGAATGGTCTACTGGTAAACCCAGGAGAATTAGAGAGAGAGATAACAAGGTGTAGAGCTGGATGAACACAGCAGGCCAAGCAGCATCAGAGGAGCAGGAAAGCTGACGTTTCGGGCCTAGACCCTTCTTCAGAAATGGGGGAGGGGAAGGGGGTTCTGAAATAAATGGGGAGAGGGGGGAGGCGGATAGAAGATGGATAGAGGAGAAGATAGGTGGAGAGGAGACAGACCAGTCAAAGAGGCGGGGATGGAGCCAGTAAAGGTGAGTGTAGGTGGGGAGGTAAGGAAGAGATAGGTCGGTCCAGGGAGGACGGACAGGTCAAGGGGGCGGGATGAGGTTAGTAGGTAGGAGATGGGGATGGGGCTTGAGGTGGGAGAAAGGGATAGGTGGGAGGAAGGACAGGTTAGGGAGGCGGGGACGAGCTGGGCTGGTTTTGGGATGCGGTAGGGGGAGGGGAGATTTTGAAACTTGTGAAATCCACATTGATACCATTGGGCTGCAGGGTTCCCAAGCGGACTATGAGTTGCTGTTCCTGCAACCTTCGGGTAGCATCGTTGTGGCACTGCAGGAGGCCCAGGATGGACGTGTCATCTGCGGAATGGGAGGGGGAGTTGAAATGGTTCGCGACTGGGAGGTGCAGTTGTTTATTGCAAACTGAGTGTAGGTGTTCTGCAAAGCGGTCCCCAAGCCTCCGCTTGGTTTCCCCGATGTAGAGGAGGCCACAACGGGAACAGCGGATGCAGTATACCACATTAGCAAATGTGCAGGTGAACATCTGCTTGATGTGGAAAGTCTTCTTGGGGCCTGGGATGGGGGTGAGCGGGGAGGTGTAGGGGCAGGTGTAGCACTTCCTGCGGTTGCAGGGAAAAGTGCCGGGTGAGGTGGGGCTGGAGGGGAGTGTGGAGCGAACAAGGGAGTCACAGAGAGAGTGGTCCCTCCAGAAGGCAGATAAGGGTGGGGAGGGAAAAATGTCTTTGGTGGTGGGGTCGGATTGCAGATGGTGGAAGTGTCGGAGGATGATGCGTTGGATCCTGAGGTTGGTGGGGTGGTACGTGAGGACGAGGGAGATTCTGTTTTTGTTGTTATTGCGGGGAGGGGGTGTGAGGGATGAGTTGCGGGAAATGCGGGAGACACGGTCGAGGGCGTTCTCAACCACTGAGGGGGTGAAGTTGCGGTCCTTGAAAAACGAGGACATCTGAGATGTACGGCAGTGGAATGCCTCATCCTGGGAGCAGATGCGGCGGACGCGAAGGAATTGGGAATAGGGGATGGCATTTTTGCAGGAAGGTGGGTGGGAGGAGGTGTATTCTAGTGAAATGGATTGTCTTTTGTGGCACCTTGATGTGTATATATTGCGTATCCTACATTACAACAGTGACTGTAGTTGTAATTGTAGCTGTTAATCCTATGATCATGGTCTTTAAGTGACACCTTACTCTCAGCAGGGATCTGCAAAGTTGTAACTAAGTTGTGGTAATTTTATTTTGTATCAATGTTGTTTGGAGCATACACCTTTCCTAAAACAAACATGGTTAAATCTAGAAAAAAAACAGGAAATCAATCGATCAACCATGGGACAACACACATGTTGCCACCCATTCCAGGATTGCCCTGGAATCTCCAGGAATCAGGGATTGATTTGCAGAATATAGCTAAAAGCAACCAGGCAGAAAGGTCAAAGGGCAGTAGGTGTGTTTCAACACCTATTTGCTTTGAGTGCGATAATTTATTGGTTGTATAAGTATATTGGAGATAAGGTTGTGTGACTGGATGATGGGAGGTTATGAACAACCTCCAGAATTAAATCCAAGCAGAGTTGGTGTGTTCCCTTGTCCCATGGAACAAGGAGGGCACCTGCCATTGCAAGAAGCTGCATGTAGAGCCTTTTAATGCCAGAAGGTTGTTGCACTGCACCAGGGAGCTCCCTGATTCTTGCGCGCAAAATTGGACGTATTTGACAGATAACAATCAACTTATTTGGCCATGTTATGAGTGCACCTTTCACGGTCATCTGGTCAAAAGGTGGACTTTGCACCTGGACCTTCTAGCCCAGTAGTACTACCCACTGTGTCACAAGAGCACCATTATGATAAGGATACATTGCTGGTGGGTGCCATCTTATGTTTTCCAAAAACAAAGAACAGCACAGGCCCTTTGTCCCACCAATACTGTACCAACATGTGATACCTTTCTAAACTTAAAATCTTTTTGCCTCCGTATGGTCTGTATCCCTCTATTCCCTGCCTATTCATACATCTGTCAAGATACCTCTTAATTGACCTCCTCCACCTCTTCAGGCAGCGCATTCCAAGCACTTACCACCCTCTGTGTAAAAAAAACACCTGCTTCCCATAAACTTAACCCCTTTTACCTTAAACCTATGTCCCTGAGTAATTGATGTTTCTACCCAGAGAAAAAGTCTCTGACTATCCATTCTATTGATGCCTGTCATAATTTTGTAAATTTCTATCAGGTTGCCCCACATCCTTTGATTTTCAAATGAAAACAACCAAGTTTATCAATCTCTTCTCATAGCTAATACCCTACAAACCATGCAATATCCTGGTAAAGTCCCTGGTTTTTCCATCTCTTCCCGTTTTCCTATTTGCACATTGTTGGTCTGTTAAGATTTTGCCCAGATTATCAGTTGTGACCATTCAGTTGCCACTCGGCTTTTGGTATGTATGCAATCTCATTATGATTTGCCTCACCCCCCACTTCATCATAGACCCATCCAGGCCAAAGACGCCTGCTCAATTGGCACCCCACTCACACATTCACTGTCTCCAGCACTAATGCACAGTCACAGCAGTGTGTACCATCTAACAAGGTGAACTGCAGCAACTCTTCTTTCTAGGTGCCTGGCAATGACCTATAAGTTCCTTTCCATGTCAGCTACCATTCTGACTTGGAACCATATAACTGTTCCTTCAGTGTCACTGCATCAAAACCCGAAATTCCTTAACATCACTGTGGGTGTCACTATACCACAAAGACTGCAGTGACTGTAGAAGGCGGCCTACCACCACCCTCTCTGGACAATTAGGGATGGGTGATAACTGCTGGCATTTGGCAGTGAAGCATACATTGCATCAATCAGAAAAGCAAAACCTTACAGCCCAGAAAGAGGCCATTCAGCCCACTATGGTTGTACTGACTCTTCAAGTTATCCAATTAACCTTGAGCCATGGAAATGAATCCTTTCTCACAGTGTATCCAATTCCATTATGAAAATTACTGTTGAATTTGCCTCCACATCCCAGATTATAACAAATGCTCCATTGAAAACGAATTCTCATCCTGCCTTTTTTCCGCCATTTATCTTGAACCTCTGTTCCTCATCCTTTCTACCTGTATACAGGATTAAAGCAACTCCAAATACTTTCTTATCCCATTGATAACACCGTTGTCTCTTCCTGCTGCCCTATTTCTTATTTCCATAATTTACAGGTCTGAACCTTCCTCTAGGGTGGTTCAATGGTTAGCACTGTTGCCTTACAATACCAGGGATCCAGGTTCAATACCACCCTTGAGCAATTGTCTGTGTGGAGTTTGCACCTCTCCCTGTGTGGGTTCCTCTGGGTGCTCTGGTTTTGTCCCACAGTCCAAAGATGTGCAGTTTAGGTGGATTGGCCAGGCTAAATTGCCTGTAGTGCCATGGGATATGCAGGCTAGGTGGATTAGCCATAGGAAATGCAGGGTTACAAGGATAGGGTAGGGGGATGGGCCTGGGTAGGATGCCCTCCGAAGGGTCAGTGTGGACTCAATAGGCTGAATGACCTGCTTCTGCACGTAGGGATTCTATACGCAGTAATTACTTGACCTGCTCCTGTGTGTTTACTACATTTATTTATTCTGAATGTTTGGAATATCCATTTGTATTTTTATTTGACAACTTCTGCTGCCGGCAGCGTTTTATTTTTCAAGGCTCTCCCTTAAAGATTGGGAGAATCTGGAACTCTCTGCCTAAGAGTAGTAGAGGCAGAAACCCTCATAATATTTAAGAAGTCTTTTTAGATGCACACTTGCAATGCTAAGGCATATAAGGCAATGGGTCAAGTGCTGGAAAATGGGATTAGAATTGTTAGGTGGTTGTTTTTGACTAGCACAGACTCGATG